AACTGAAAAATTGTGCTCTACACTGGAATTTGACACAACATTGTAAAACGATTATAAATCAATAAAAAATGTTTAAAAAAAGTGAGTTGTATGGTATGTGAATTATATCTCAATAAAGTCATTATTTAAAACAACAACAATTTTATGACATTATCTACTAAAGCTTAACTAACACATGTATTCCCTATGACCTACAAATTCCACTTCTAAATGTATACCTAAATAGAAATGCATACATATATTTACCAAAAGACATGTACTAGGATAACCATTGAAGCACTATTTGTAATAGCCATAAAGTGAGAAACAGCTAAAAACTCACCAATAATAGAATACATAACCACAAAACAGAATAGTACACCACAATGAGAATGAATCAACTACTGCTACATGCAACCACATGGATGAATTTCACCAACATTGTGTTGGGCAAAAGAAGCCAGACACAAGAGAGTACATAATGTAGGATCTAAGTTAAGTACAGCTCAAAACCTGACAAAATTCAACTGCGGTGTTAGAAATCAGGACAGTAGTTACCACAAGGCTGGGGGAGTAAATAAGGATGGAAGGGGGGCTTCTGTTAATGTTTTTTATAATCTGAGCACCAATTACATAGGGATGCTCACTTTTGAACATTTATACAACCGTATGCTTATAACTTATGACTTTTTCTGGATCTCATATTTCGATACAGAATTTATTTAAAGAGATGTTAAGAGATGTGTTTACAACAGTAACAGCAAAGAACAACAAAAAACCAAATGTGTAAAATAGCATAAGCTTCCGGAAGGTGGAGTCTCTGTCTCTCGCACTGTGTTGCCCTCCAGTGCTCTGAATCTAAGGGTGCCCAAGAATAGGCACACAGTGAACCTCCTTACCTCTGTCTCAGTTCTAGGAGGAATGAAGTTCTCTGAAGAGAAAGGATCAACTTTGTGCCACTCACCTGGGCTTTTTCTCTCTTTGCCCTGATCAGTGTGTCTTGGTAATGCTGGGCGACTTCTGCAAGGACCCCCTCAAGTTTAGCTGCAGGAATCTGCAGAGCCTGCAGGGTCTTTTGGGCATCACCTTCATCCAGGGCTTCATTAATTAAACCAATGGCTAAAATCCCTAAATAAAAAAGAGACTAAAGATTATTTTTTAATTAAAACATTATATAAATAAGTCTTTTAAACATGCTAAATGATCATAAATCCTCTATTCAAGAGTTACCATGATTCAAACTAAAATTTGTCATTCATAATACTAAGCAGCATTTAATTTTTTTCCTTTAAATTTAGTGTTTGTTTCATCTAAGTAAACCTCCTTGTATCCATACTCCTATTGAAACCTGAAGGCCTTTTGTTTTATTTTTAATTGCTCTAACTTAAGGGTGATAATGATTGGAGGGGGAGGGTATAGCTTAGCATGTACAAGATCCTGGGTTCAATCCCCAGTACATCCATTAAATAAATAAATAAACCTACCCCCACCCCAAAAGGCACCAAGTATAACATTTTTATAGAAAAAAAAAAAATGAGGCTTAGGGATCCCTTCTCCAAGATTACACAGCAAACAAGCAGCAGGTAGAGAATCAAAGCTCAGGGCTTCCCACTCCAAGGCAAGGCTCCTTCCACTAAATCACTGCATATTTCTCACAGGAAATACTAATTAAAACTAGAAATGTTCACTCCTCAGGTATCCTAGGCAGCTGGCCTACTTTTGTAAAGACCCTATTGTATAATAAAAAAAAATCTGACTTTCTTTCTCCCTGGTTTATGGGTAGAAGCCTCTAAACCCTTGGAATTTCCCAAGTGATAGGAGTATCTTTGTTATTCATGGTGGGCTCTTAGGACCACACCTGAGTTTATGCCAACCAGGTGACTTCTGGTGGATCCCTAGATAGCTTCTGGATGGGGGCTCATCATGCTGCAAAGACCAACCATGTGATTAGAAGACTGGGGCTTTGAGCCCTTTGATCACCAGGATATCAGCACAGCCTCCTTATCTCCAGGGAGGGGTGGTAGACTGGAATAGTTCAACCAATATTCAACCAATTATTCATACGTAATGAAGCCCCAGCAAAAACTGTGGATATAGCCAAAGCTCAGGTGCACTTCCCTGGTGGCGATACACATCGATGGGCTGGGAGGGCAATGCATCCTGAGGATACACAAGCTTCAAATCTGGGACCCTACCAGGCACCCCCTTATTGGGTTCTTCTTTAGACTGGACCAGATTTGCATCGTTTATAAGGAAACTGTAATCATAAGTATAGTTCTTTCCTGAGTTCTGTGAGGCATTCTAGCAAATTACTGAACCTGAGTGGGTAGAGGGAGACCACTGAACATACGGCCAGTTTTTCAGAAGTGTGGTGACCTGGGAACTCCAGAGGGTAAGGCTGGTGTCTGAAGTGAGAGGAGTCTTGGGGAGGATTGTGCCCTCAGTCTGTGCAATATGATCTAACACTAGGTAGTCAGGGTCAGAACCACTTGTTATAACAGCATTTTAAAAACAGACCATGTTCAATTCACCTCCTGAAAAATTTAATGATTACATACATATCTAATTATAATAGTTGCCTGGAGTTTTGAAAACTACATCCAACCTTAGGTTTAGAGTTTATACATTTTTCAATTTCCAAAAATCCTGCCAGGAGTAGCATTTAGAATCAGCTCATGGAATCACACTGTCTTTACCGGTGACATTATCTGGGGGGACAGGAAGTAGATTACTCACTCTCATGTTCCTCCTGCACCACCAGATTCACATGGTCCACACAAGCTTGGATGTCATTCCACGTAATAAATTCATTATTCTCTGCATGTGCCTGAGCTTTCAGTTTCATCAACTCATCGAGATATCTGCTCCATTCCCCCACAAAAGGAAACAATGAAAGGTAATATAAGAAAAGGGACCTTCAGGATTATTTTGGGTGACAGGAATGAGAAGACTTAGGAATAAAGGATCCAAGGAATAGAGATAGCAAAGGTATTCCAGGGGCCAGCTTTGGGAATGAGGAGTTACCTTGAACAAAGTGCAAAAATGCAAGAATATCACTTATTCTTAACAGCCTATTACATGGTCTAAATTCCAGGCAAGACCAACTCTAGAATCAGAGGCAGCAGCTCAAGTGATTCCTCTAAAGACAAGAAAACAAGGCTATATACCAGCTAATAAACATAGAAGGAATGACAGATCAACAAATCACCATTAAAGAACTCTCACTGAAAGTATAGATTTCAGCAAGAATTATCAACTGGGGTTAAAAATATTAGGTGAATGGTAATGGGGAATTGGACATTTTGATGGTGCAAAAGTCTGCCTCTTGTTATGAGAAAATATGAAACACACACTACCAAAAATATTTAATTGAATCTTGACAAACTTTTAGACCTAATTTCCAATTTATAAGAATAAACCAAATATTAGGAAGCAATCAGAACTGAAGATGGGACATTTTATAGGACAACTGACTCCATCTCTTTAACAACTCACTGTCATAAAGAAAGGGACAATACTGGATTAAAAGATACCAAAGGGACACAACAGCCAGATGTAACATGTGGTCCTGGACCGGATCCTGGTTTGAACAAACCAGCTGGAAAGAACAGTTTTAGAACAAGTGAGGAAGTATGAAAATGGACTAGGTTTAGAGGGTATTAAAGAAGTACTGTTGATTTTATCAGGGTATAAGAGAGTGTTAATTTTGATACATAACAAATAGCCTCATTGTTTTACATAAGCATATTTACATATTTAGGACTGGAATGTTAAGATACCTGAAATTTACTATAAATCCTTCAGCGTAATAAAGAATAAAATAAATCAAAATAGAAAAGAAAAAACAAAAAAGATGATCACAGTAAAGTCACAATGCCTGCAAAGAAAATAAAAGTTCTGGCACACAAAAGACAGAGGTACGGCTACCTAATGGATTCAATCCACCACTCTGGGCACCCACCTCTGACAGTTTTCTTCTTCAATATTGGTAAGGCCTGTAACTGAACTGCTCAACTGTTTCCACACTGTATTCATGTCTCCGGATTCCAGCGCCCTGTTGATTAGGGCCACCGATGACAACATCTCCACAGCAACAGAGAGCTCAGGATGGGTGAGGTTATGCTATACAGAAATGGAGACGGGGGAGAAAGAATAAGGAAAGATATTCTGGAATATGAAGCGAGGTCAGAGTTAACCATAAGGAGTCGGGGGGGAGGTGGACAGTGGGTGTAGCTCAATGGTGGAGCACATGCTTAGTGTGCACGAGGTCCTAAATTCAATCCCCAGTACCTCCATTAAAAAAAGAAGGAAAAAAAAATAAACAAAAAAACCATAAGATGTCTAAGTTTCTAGGTTAAAAAAAAAAAAATTCTACCCAACTACACCAATAAATGGGTATTTTTACTTCCACTCCACTTTGCTCACAAACAGGACAGGTTCAGTTAACTTACCTCTGGACTCTGTTGCTGCAGGGTAGCCAGCTCCTTCTGATAAAGATCAGCAGCAAATGCATACACCTGGGGCAGCTGGGCTTCAGGATTCATTAGTTCCTGAACAGTCTTCTCCGCGACGCCCTTCTGGATTGCAGCATTAATCGCTGCCACTGCCGCCAACCCTGCACAGAGAACAGGAGGTCAGAAATACAGTTGGCTCTGAGAAGCCCTGAGGGGAAGGAGATGTCAATTTTCACAGAATAAAGTTATTTTCTGCGGATAAACTATTATCCATGATGTTTGAAGTGGAACTTCCATCTTTAAGAAGCAGCCTCTTTTTCTCCTCCCCCCTATTTTCTTCCCATTCCAAATCATCCTGCATGCCATCACTGCTCTCTACCTAAAACATCCTTCCCCTGCAGCCCAGCAAACAAAGTACCAGCCTATTAAGCTGCCATTCAAAGTTTTCCATAATCTTTCCAAACCTCTATCTTACACAACTCAGCCTAAAACACCTACAAAAATTTTATTCTAACCACTATTTCTTAAATACATCTTTCACCTTCTGTTCCTCTGCTCACACTTCCTTTTCTCCCTGTTGCCTCTTATCAGGAACATCCTTCTCTATCCTCTTTCATCATCCAAATCTTACCAATCAATCCCTTACGTCTCACCTCCTCCAGATGTTTCCCTAACCAACTATGACATGCTTACTAGCCAATGTGAGCCTACACTGACTCCAGTTCTACTTTTAAAACTGAAGAAATCGTATTGCCACCAAAGGTACCTGTTGGTTGACTATGGCTAAATAGGCTTAAGGTGGGTTAAGGAGAATCTGAGCATAGACCCCCTCAGTGCTATAAAGCCACTTTCCTCCCCTCTACTCAATATTTCAGTAGACACACTGAGAGAACTCTTACTTCTCTGATACTGCTGGGCAGCACTGTTGGCGGCATCCACTCCAGACTGTAGTTCCTCCTTCTGCAGGGAATCAGCCTGACCATTCTGAGAAAAGCAAAGAACATTTAGATAAAGATCACTCCTGCCTATGCCCCCAGACCTTATAGTTCTCATATCTCAACAACAGTCACTACGGACAGAGAGCCACAGGCATAAGTGACACCTTCAGGCTACATGCAGCCAAACTGGCAGCCCCAGCTAGAGCCAAAAGCCCTTGCCAAATCTGGGGTAGACTCATTTTCCAGATACCAGCATGTTAAAAAAAAACATATTTTGTAAAAAGTATCAAAATGTTCTGAGATAAAACATTTACAGAATTATTAGCACATTAATGCTGCTTACTCTGGCCAACGCTGGGAATCTGTAAAATGTATACTTGTCCTTACTTAGAAAAAGAAAAAAAAAAAAAGCCCCTTATGCTTGTTCTAAAAAAACACCATATAGTATACTCCCACAAGGTCTATTGTTATTGCACAGTAAGTACTTGCCCAGTGTTGGCCAGAGGAAAGTAGGAAGGTATGGTTTTTTTAAAGTGGAAATTCCTAAAGTAAGAATGTAAAAATTCAGGTTTTCCCCAATGGCTTTTTAGTTGGGGATTTAAGAGACTGCAAGTGAAGGGGTGGTAAAATTCAGAGGGAAGGCACTGTTTATTTTAAAAGAGAATTTACAACTCTAAAAGCAAAAGAGAGCTGAAGACAACATGTACTCTACCTGAGGCTATTAAACAACTTAATTTACATGCAGAAGAAAAAGGTATACTAGAAAGAAAAAGGCCCCATAAATATCTTTAAACAACAGCATGGGATTCAAATGGATGTATATAAACACCTGCAGGTTCAGCTCGGGATATTCTTACCTGTCTCTTCTGCTGTCTATCACTCAGGAGCTGCTTGAGGTACCAGTCACTGTTCTGCTGCTGCAGTCCTCGAAGGCTCAGAGCTGGTGACTGAAGAACCTTGAACAAGGCCAGTGCAGATCCCTGCTCCAAAGCCAGGTCTACATTCGCTAATGCAGAAAGCACTGAGGAAGAAAAAAGGCAAAAGCTTAAGGGAAAACTATGTTAATATTATAGCCTAGAATATTTTTCCTTTCTGCAAATCAATCTTAGTTCCTGATGAGGGAAATAGAGTTCATATAGCCTTTACTCTGGAGTATCACAGAAGCATGAGACCTTGAGGTTGGAAGAGAACCTTAAAGTCATCAAGCCCAGGGGTTCCCAAGGTGTTCAGATTGTTAACAGATTCCTGGACCACACGCCTGGCCTACTTAGAAGCTTCCAGATGTACACAGCTTGGCACCAATGTGGGCAGCAACATAGAGGCATCAATAATGTGAGCCTAAATTCCGTCTAAAATACCAATTCATTGTCCAGACTAAACTACTACACAGGAAAAAGTATCTCCCACAGCAGTTTACTACACCTTTGGATAATTTTGTTTAAAAAAATTTTGTTAACGCTCTCACCCTAGACTTGATACTTGAATACATCCAACCCCCTCCCCCATCCCTGTGACAGTCTACTCCTGACTAAAGAGCTTAGTTCCTCCAACTGTTTCTTATACAGCATCATTCTGAATCCCTTCACTACCCTGGCATCTCCTGAACATACTCCACCCAAAGCAATCAGAGCCCAGACGCCACGGCTGGTCTGACCACGTGGAGAAGAGGCTCTCTGCACCCTCTCAATATCCTCTATTTCCAGTCACAGAACCTGAGGTCACACAAGATCTCTCATATACTATCTGACAGTAAAAATGCAGACTTTCCTTCATCTGAAAATGATAATAAAGTTACCTTCCTCACAGGGCTATTAAGATTAAATAAAATCATATATATGGAAACATTTTGTATATTGTAAAGTAAATAAGGTTACTACTAGGTTGAAAGTCAGAATAACGTATTTTCTGATTTCAGAAATGACAGCTACTGGAAAATCATAATTACTGTATTATTTTCAGTTTCCCTATTTTTAGAAAGGAAAATAGAGTTTCTCCTTCCCATGCCCCACCCACGGATGGACATATGATTTTATCACCAAAGTAGCAAAACAAACCAATAATAAAATACTAAAAATCAAAATATTTGGGGGCATAGTAGTACTTATCAGTTTTAAATGTTTTCATTAGTTAAAAGAAAAGAAAGAAAAGAAAATTAATATAAGCTGTTAGGGGGGAAAAAAACAGTGTAAGAGAAAATGAAGTCTCAAGCTAGAAAGTGGGGAATGGGGCAGTGGGAAAAGCAGAACTAATAAATAACACCAAGAGGTAAAAGGATATTAAGGTTAGATTCCTGAGACTGTTTGCTTCTTCCCAACATTCTTCCCTACACTTTGGCTCACTGATCAGCACACAAAGGTGGTGGCTCCCTGAGTCAAGGCTGCAGGTCTATGTGGCCATTAGTCAACTAATCATCCATTCTTTCAACAACATTAACTACACACCTGATGTAAACACAGCCGTGAGCAAAACAGACAGGTATGTCCATCCTCAGGGAGATTTGGTAATAGTAGGAACCAGAAAATAAAATCGGTACAGGTAACAGCCAGGCTTCCTCTAGGTATGCACTGTAGAACCTCAGACTATCTGCCAAGCATGTAGTCAATTCTACTTTTACTAGAAACATAATCTTACTACTTAAATACGTAAATATTTAAATGAGCATTTACCAATACTTACACTATAAAGATGATAAAGTTTAGAACATCATTTAAATACTTTCTCCCACTATGCTTTAATTATCTAACTTGAGTTTTTCTTATTCTACTTGACAAAAAATAAAAACTTTTTCTCATTTTTAACTATTTGGCCTGTGGCTTTCTTCTGGGGCAGTGTTAATGGCTTCACTGCTGGTTCTCAAGCCCTAAGGAAACAATCTTACCTACAATTACATTAAGACAATTCCTGGGACCTAAAGTCCCTCTGTCTTCCTAACATATAACTTTCCCTTGTCTCTTACTTTCTCTATTACTAGGAAGAGATTGTCCCTGCATGGGGAATTCTGCCTTATCCTCATCTTCTTATCTACCCTAAGAGTCCCAGTGAAGGTCCATGTACAAACCTCAAAGAAAGGTCATCATTTTCTTCTTATTCTAGGACTGCACTTCACACACCTTTGGTTGCCTTGAAATTACTCATTGTATTGTTCTGACCAAGTTGCTCTGAAATTATTCATTTGCCTACCGACCTTTCTCACTACACTGAAAGCTATTTGAGGGAATGTTTACTGTTTTGCTCCTCTGACCACGTGACAATATGCACAGAACACTTTAAAAACATATACACATGGTTGTTTTCTTACGTGTTGATAACTGATTCTCATATAATTAGCCAGGTAAAGCTATAAAGGTTACAAAATCCCAACCAACATAATAGAGCAAATTTCCTTAGTTAAGCAAGAAGAGTTATTTTATGCACTGTATGCAGCAGGAAACATGCTGAACTTTCTTCTCACACAGAGAACTAAGTACAAGGATACTCTGGTTTGTATTTGCTGACTTAAGTAGTGTTCATACAGACACAGCACATAAATGACCCATACCTGAATGGAACTATTACTCTGTTCAGAAAGCCATGACCCTAAATGAACCAGAATAGAACAGTATACAAAGTCTCCTGGTCAGGATTTATTTATATCCTATGGAGTTAGTAAAATCGTATAAATTCTCACCAGTTATTCAGAGTATTAGTTCAAGTGAGAAATTATGATCTTCAAACGAATAAAGAGGACACTGGTTACTATTATTAATATTAATATACTATTATTATCTTGAGCAAAACAAGATTATGCCTGGTTGAATCAAATAATCTTTTAGTTCTTCTGGTAAGTCTTACCCTATGCCAGGAATTATGAGGATTTGAAAAGATGCAGAACTCACAAGTAAACACTATTTTAAGTTTATAAAAATGTCAGAAACAAAAAGTAAACAATACAAGACAATACATAATTAAATACAAGACTGTGTGGTTTAGCCTATAAATGCTGTAGGAGATTTGAAAGGCAAGTGTATTGTGAGCCAGGACAGGCACTGAGGTGAAAATTACGCTGAATCTTGAATGATGGGTACAATTTGGATTAGGTAAGAGATGAGGCAAGAGGGCACGATAGTGGGGAGATTACATGATTAACAAAAGTGATAATAATATTATTTATTGAGTGCTTAATGAAATACTAGGATATTTACATATATTATCTCATCATTTGCATAACGATTCTATGCCACAGGTGCCCAATTCCCACAGCTATTAATATCAGTTTCAAGAGATCAAATCCCAAGTCTGAACCACTCCAGAGCCACTCTTCCTGAGTCACTCACTGAACACAATGCATATGGCAAGCAAATAGGCAAATGAATTTCTACAGAGTTGTATGCACAAAATACTGCATAAAGAACTCCGCTAGGCTAGTGACCTGCATTTTGTTTGGCAAGTAATAAGGAACCAATGCATGTTCTTTAGCAGAAGAGTGACAAAATGAAAATGACACTATCAAGAAGTTAATTTCTCAGAAGTGTATAATATACAAAAAATCAATATGAATAGTACCACTTCATTTTTGTTTAAATATATGTTTTGAAGGATACGTTAAAAATATCAATACTGGTTATTTCTAGGTGACAGGGGTCTAATTTTTAATTTGTTTGTTTCTTTCTGGCTAACTTGAATTACTCTTTAAAAGAAAAATAAAACTATAATATTACTTTAAAATAGAAAAATAAAATCCTTATTCAGATTTTTTTTAAAGGGTGCAACAGAGTGAAAGAGTAAAACTCTAGTTAGAAAACTCAGTCTGGAAGTTACAACAGATAAGCAGATGGAGGAGTGGGAGCCTGCCTGAAGACAATGGTAGCCCAAAGAGAAGATAAATGAACACAAAAGACAGTAAATAAGCAAAGTTCCTAAGCAAACCCACTAATGTCTAAAATAAATAAACCATGTCATCAGTCCAAGAATAGATCGACATTCACATTATTCTGTAACATTCCCTTAGGTGCCTGACCCAGGACATACTTACTATTGACTTTGTTTATATTGCCTTGAATTTCAGCTTGAGTGAGCAGCTCCTCATAAACATCCCTTTCTCTCTCAGAGTTTTCTGTCTGAAAAGGAGTAAAAAATGTAATTAAATTAGCTCAGGTCTCTAAGAAGACCACAGAAATACAATTGTGCTTTCCCCTCACCATGACAGAACCAAGAGCAAGGAAGGGTATGGCTTAAACCCTTAATGAAGAACAAAGTGCAATGCTGCATGACTGAAACTGAACACATAAAAAGCAGATCCACTTGTAAATGACAAGCCCAAGGGTTCTTCCAGAGCCAAGCAAGAGAGGAAGCACTGGTGAACCCTGCTCTGCTCACATGTGAGCCTGCATCCTTGTCTCAGACCTGAGCAGGGCAGGCACATCCAGGGACCACATCTCAGAACCTCTCATTGATTTGCACAAAATTCAAGAAGAAAGTAGAAGTCAAAATGGAATCTAATACCAAAAGACTACATACTGGATAATTTCATTTCATTTATATAAAATTCTAAAAAAGGCAAACTAAAGTGATAGAAAACAAACTGGTAGTTGTCAGGGCCAGAGACAAGGAGCGGAGGGGAAGTAGAGATTGATTGGTAAGGAAGACATGGGAACTTTTGGGGTAATAGTTATATAACCAAAGACATTTGTCAAAACCCATCAAATCGTATACTTAAAATAAATGAACTTTATTATATGTAAATTATAGCTCAATAAAACTGATCTTAAAAATGAAGTCATAAGCATTCAAAAATAGGCATTTTCTTTAAAGTATGTAATTATCAGAAAAGAGTTACTATGTTATTTTGTATGGGACACATTTTCACAAAGATACTTAGTGTAAGAAAGTTTTTTAATGAGAAGTATTTATTTTTTAGCCATTTAAACAATTTTTGTGTTATATTCCTTATTCCTTAGGTCTACCAACAAATTCAGATAAATGTTTTCAATTAGACATATTCAGTCTATCATGACTGTTTAAGAAATAGTACAAAGTTTAAATTAACAAAATGCATTTAAAATTTTCTGTATGGTACTTGCAGGATAAAACTGACTCTGAAGATAAAAAGGAAATAACCTTTCAGGGTAGTATATTGCTTTACATGTAGACCAAAACTTTAAATGTACCCAAATCCTTCTGGTGAATAATCTTGTTTTCAGTAAGAGTAATAAGAAAATTTAGGTCAACCACCAAGCTAAGTATAAATGTATTATTGATTATATACAAAACAAAAACAAAAAACAAACAAACAAAATAAAAAGTGGAGTCAAATCAAACAATGGAAGAATATAAATCAGTTAGAAAGAACAGGTATTCCATTTTTACCCTGTTTTTAGCATTTGTCATTTTGTCCTGCTTGGCCTGGTAAAGTACATCCTGGTAAGTGGAAGCCAAGGGTTCTTCAAGATTCACAAGCATGGCATTGGGGTTTCTCAAGGCTGCAAATGTGTCAGCTGGAATTCTACGGTCAATAGCTTCATTAATGGCAATAACGGCAGCATGCACTAAAAAAAATTTCAAAAAGTAGAACACTGAGGTTATATAAAGTAAAGGATGTAACTTACACAGTCAAAACAATATTAAAATCCCCTGTTACAAAAAGAGGCTCCTTTCACAGAGATTCAACCATTGGGGTTAGAAGAGTGGCTCCCCAGATCTTATAAATCTACCCAGTCTTTTCCCTCTGATGCATAAAGCCACTGCTCTGCCTGTGATCCATGTCTGGATTGCTGAGTTAGAATCTTACAGGGAAATATTCATAAGAGACTCTGCAAGGAGCATTTGAGCATTTGTTATGACAATGTTCACCCTTAATCATCATGTAAATACCATCAGAAAATAAGAAACTCAAAAAGGCACTGAAATGT